GGTTCAAGTGATTCTCCTGCCTTAACCTCCCAAGTAGCTGGGATTACAGGCATGCACCACCATGCCTGACTAATTTTTAGAAATATTTTTAGTAGAAACGGAGTTTCACCATGTTGGTCAGGCTGGTCCTGATCCCCTGACCTCAAGTGATCCACCTTCCTCAGCCTCCCAAAGGGCTGGGATTAAAGATGTGAGCCACCATGCCTGGCCTCATTCTCAAATACTTGTGACTGAAGATATTCCCATTTGTAAAATAGGAAAACTTATGTAGCACTACGAGTTTGCCAAAGTTGAAATTAAAATGAATTTATTCTGTCCTTTGCAATCTTGAGTACCTTTAATGTGTCAACTACTTCAGAGGCCAAGGTTAAAGAATTGAGTAAGATGCAGTTTTCACACCTTAGTATACTTGAGCCTCCCTACCCAGTAGTTGCCAGTTCTCTCTTCTTGAGCTTAACACAGCTGGGCAAGCCATGTGATTTGCAGCAATATCTATACCAACAGTGTCTAGGAAAGGACAGTCACAGGGAACTCGGGCTTCTGGTTTCCAGAGATTCAATGTGACTTGGCCTTCAGCCCCACCCTGGTGGGAACTCCATTGCTGGACCCTCCCTGAGACTATCTCCCTCTCCCAAGCAGCCTCTCTGCCTGCATGGCCATCCCTGCCTGACCAGAGATCCAGTGTGTAAGAATGTAGGAGTCCTCATTCTTGATCCCAATCTATCTGCTTTTGTATGTGCTAAAATGCTGGATTTGAAATTAGGTCTTGGCAATATTAGAAAATTAGGTAACTGTGCTACTGGCTTCAGGGAAGAGATTGCCCATCACCATTTTGGGGCCTCTGTTTCCAGGTAAATAGAGGTTAATTGTACTGAAAATAGAAGAGGTGCCTTCAGAGAACTTTCAGTAGTGAAGAAAGGGTTAATCCTGTTTCTCTACAAACCTTGGAAACAGTTTGTCTGGAATTGTCCAAACCATTACCACAGAGCTAATCATCAGAACTGGTATTACATGCGAAAAAGGAAGTCTAGAGATGTGTGGTATGTTTGATAGAATTGGTGGCTGGATGCTTTCCCCCATAATTCAGCAGTTGATATTTTAGTTAGAGAGGCTCTCTTTCAGACTGAAGTTGTTTCCAGTAACTGCCTTTTCCAACTAAGTTAAGATGAGTTGAGAGCATGCTAAGCTCTCCACCAGCTATTGCCATCACATCTATATATTTATGAGGAAAGAGAAATCTGAGATGTACTGCAGTTTTTTGTTTTTTATTACCGTTGTTAGCCTAGCTCTATTTTTTGATTACTAATTTGTGGACGCTGGTAAAGCTGCCTGATATGAATATGTTCTTTTCTTTCACATTTCTGTTTAAAGGGCAGGGGAGAAGGGTAGCAAAAGAGAGATGAAAGTAGATTTCATTCATTTATTCTGTTAAAAATTTTAATTGAGGGCCGGGCGCGGTGGCTCAAGCCTGTAATCCCAGCACTTTGGGAGGCCGAGGCAGGTGGATCACGAGGTCAAGAGATCGAGACCATCCTGGTCAACATGGTGAAACCCCGTCTCTACTAAAAATACAAAAAATTAGCTGGGCATGGTGGCGTGTGCCTGTAATCCCAGCTACTCAGGAGCTGAGGCAGGAGAATTGCCTGAACCCAGGAGGCGGAGGTTGCGGTGAGCCGAGATCGCACCATTGCACTCCAGCCTGGGTAACAAGAGCGAAACTCCGTCTCAAAAAAAAAAAAAAAAAAATTGAATACCACCTGTATTCTGGGGCATTGGTCTTGTTGCTGTGGATGTAGCAGTGAAAAAGACATACAAAGAGGGGAAGAAGGAGAACAGATGTAAAATTGGAAAGTGAATTGGTGGGGAATGGACTGGGAGGAAGAATTTAAGTGCTCAGAGAAGGTCTCAGATCTTGCATTTGAGCTAAAATCTAGATTACAAGAAGCTGCTAGGATTGGACTACATGTCTTGCTAGTCATGATAATGACTTGGACCGGGGTGGTGATGACAAAAACTCAGACCCTGTTACAAGCAGGAATTTCTCTGGCTTCCTGCATACTTTTTCAATGCAGTCTTTAGAGTTAATCAGCTTTACATTTACATTTACATTTAAATAAAGTAATATTTTGACATAGCATATTGTTATGTGATTTCTGGGTGCCTTTTTTCTTTTTTTAATTGTTGAAGCTTTTGACTATTAAGTACTAACTGTAAAACATCTAATTTCTTTTCGGCTTAACTTCTGTGTACTCATCTATCTAAATCTATAATATGTATCACAGTATTTGCCAAAGTTCTTTATAGCTGTTTATTAAAATATTTATTGTCTTATTACAAAAACATTATACAGAAAGTAAAACAAAATATAATGAAAAAAATAACCTGTGCCACACCTGTAATCCCATCACTTTGGGAAGCTGAGGTGGGAAGATGGCCTGAGCCCAGGAGTTATCAGCTTGGGCAACAGAGTGAGACCCCTATCTCTATTAAAAAAAAAATTTTGTAAGTAGCTGGGCATGGTGATATATGCCTATAGTCCCATCTACTCAGGAGGCTGAGGTGGGAGGATCACTTGATCCTGGGAGGTTGAGGTTGCAGGGAGCCATGATTGCACTATGCACCCCAGCCTGGGCAACAGAGGGAGACCCTGTCTCAAAAAAAGTAAAAAAATAAATAGAAACCCATGATTTTGCTATACAGATAAACATTTTATTTTCTCTTTAGTCTTTTCTTCTATGCACAGATATATTTATTTCCAAGTGGTTTTTTATTTTTTGAAGAACTAAATTTGGTAAACAATAGTTTTCATAAGAAGTCAGTAGTTAGGTGGTTTGTTTCATTTACTTTTTCGTAGCATTCTTCAAGGTATGGGATCAATTTCTTATTCTTTTCACTTGAACTGCTGCTGTCATTAGTTGAAAAGCCATCTTCCCATTAGATGTTTATTGTGTAACTCTGATGTATTTTGATTGCATTTTCTATGTCCTCAGCCAGCTTTGCAGTAATATCCTTAAAATGTTCATTGAGCTGAAGTCACAGATTAGTCCTAAAGTTCAATTTCTTTTCCTTTTTGGCCTTATTATTTTCTCAGAGCTATAGCTTGGCAACTTTGCCAAAAACGACCTTTCTAATTTTCAGGTAATATAAATTCAATATGTTAGTTTGTTAATTAACTCTTAGATTGCTTCTGTGATTTATGGTGATTTATTTCAGCTTACAGCAATACTGTTTAGATATTGAAATGTTAGAAATATCTTCTTAAAATGTTTGGAACTAACTTAGATCTTAGCTATAAAAGTATATTCAGGAAAATATAGTTTTTTTGTAATGTATTTGTCCTGAAAGCAGGCTAAGATGTAATGATGATTCTTGATGATTATTTTGCAGACCTCAAAGGAAGACCTTCTGCAGGCTGATTTTGAAGGCGCTTTAAAGTTCTTTAGAGTTCAGCTTCCAAAGAGATACAGGGCAGAGGAAAATGCAAGAAGACTGATGGAGCAGGCTTGCAATATTAAAGTAAGACACATGAGTTTTTATATAATAAAGGTAAAATATAAATGCAGTATAATATGGCAAATTGGCTGGGCGCGGTGGCTCATGCCTGTAATCCTGTAATCCTGGCAAATTGGCCAAGGCTGGTGGATCACAGGGTCAGGAGTTCAAGACTAGCCTGACCAACATGGTAAAACCCTGTCTCTTCTAAAAATACAAAAAATTAGCCGGGCATGGTGGCGCATGCCTGTAATCCCAGCTACTCCAGAGGCTGAGGGATGAGAATCTCTTGAACCTGGGAGACAGAGGTTGCAGAGCTGAGACCATGCCATTGCATGCCAGCCTAGGCAACAGAGCAAGACTGTCTCAAAAAAAAAAAAAAAAAAATTAATATGGCAAATTATGTAAAATGTTTTTTTATATGTTACAGGATTTGATTGTGTTTAAGGTTAGATTGTGTATGAACTGGTTTCTCCCAGACATTTTTGTCAGGCTGATACGTATAAAGTAGCTGTACCTTCTTGTGGGACTTAGACGGAAAGTTGGCAGGCTCAGATTATAACAATAGGAAGACAAACATTTATCTCATAGGTGGGCCCCTAGAGTGGGCTGCTGTGATAGTGGTTTCCATGGAAGCAGACTTAGTATTTAGCTTTTGGCCATCTGTTTTAAGATTATTTAGGACAAAGCAAGAAAAGCTTGCTTAGGCAGTGCTTTCATTTCTCTAAGGGACTTGGAAAGTTTGAGTCTTGATCTGCCCATTCCCATCCCACACATGCCAAACATCTGTGATACACTGGTCCATGTCACATGTCTGGTAACACTAAACAAAATTTATAAATCAATTTGAAATTGGAAACTCTTTCCAGAAAGTTGTAGTATTAAGATGAGAGAGCACTCTTAAAATATTTGGAACCAATTGACTGATGTTAATTCTTATACCTCTGGAATGTACCAGGGGATCTTTTTTTTTTTTTTGAGATGGAGTTTCGCTCTTGTTACCCAGGCTAGAGTGCAATGGCGCGATCTTGGCTCACCGCAACCTCCGCCTCCTGGGTTCAGGCAATTCTCCTGCCCCAGCCTCCTGAGTAGCTGGGATTACAGGCACGCGCCACCATGCCCAGCTAATTTTTTTGTATGTTTAGTAGAGACGAGGTTTCACCATGTTGACCAGGATGGTCTCGATCTCTTGACCTCGTGATCCACCCGCCTCGGCCTCCCACAGTGCTGGGATTACAGGCTTGAGCCACCGCGCCCGGCCTTCAGGGGATCTTTTTACCTAACCATAATATAAACATAAATTGTTTTCCTAAACAGAGATTCTGGTCTTAGGGACTTTACATTCTTGCAGAAGGAAACAGACAATAAGCAACATAATAAATTCTTTATTTAATATGTTAGAAGGCGATAAACAGCTAGGGAAAAAAGAAAAAGTAGGGGAAGATAAAGGGAGATTGGATTGGTGGGGGAGCAAAGGTTAGGGTTATTATTAAGATAGTCAGTGTCCACCCCACTGAGTCCGTGAAGGAGATGAGAGATTAGTTGTGGAGATGTCCCGGGAAAAAGCTTTCTAGGCAGCGGTAATAGCCAGTTGAGGCCTGGGTAGGTTTGAGGAACAGGAAGAAGGCCAGTGCAGCTGGAGCGAAGTGAATGAAATGGGAGTAGCAGGAATGCTTACAAAGAGCCAGAAAACGTAGGCTCTTGTAAGCATTTAGGCTTTACTTTGAGTGAAACAGGGAGCTCTTGCTGGGTTTTTAGTGGAACAGTGATATGATCTGTCTGAGGTTTTTAGAGGATCACGACTATTTTGTTGAAAACAACCATAGGAAGGTAAAAGAAGTAGGGACATCAGACGAGAGATTTTGGAGTAATCCTCTTCAGAGATGGTGATAGACTGAACCAGGTGACAGCAGTAGAGAAAGAGATGGAGATAGAGTAGAGATGGAGCTGGCTGGAACCTGGGTATATTTTGAAAGAGAACCAATAAGATTTCATGATATATTAAATGTGAGTGTGAGAAGAAAGAGTGAAAATGATTGCACAGATTTTGAACTGAGCAGCTAGGAGATAAGAGTTGCCATCAGCTTATTAAGCATGTTACTTAAAAGGTACTTTGACATGGACTTCTTTTAGGCACCACAGCTACTGTGACATTTTTGTGTATAACACAATTGTTTCGTATTTTAACCTGTTTTAAAGCAAATTATAAATGTTAAAAAGTACAGTTCAACTTTGAAAGTAAGTAACTGGGCAGAAAAAGATTATTTTGTCTTTCAAGTGAGCATTATATTCTAAGAGATCATTTTCCAAAGCTATCATAAGAAAGATGGACTTCTGAAGTTTTCATTCTGAAATGCAAACTCTTTAAAGCCTTCACGACTGATTGTTTTATTTGGCCAAAGTCTAAGCCACATTTATTTGTAACTTTGAAAGTATATTCTAGTGGGCATGGTGCCTTTCACTGACTTTTGTGGGTGGTAATTTTGAAAGGTGGGCTTCAGCCAATTGATTGTTCTGGAGATGCCAAGGGAAGTATTGTAAATTGGGTCAATGCTGTAGGAATCCTTTAAGATAAAATATTAAATGTGTAGGGAAAAATTTTTTTCTCCAGTATAATTTATGAAGTCACTGGAGGTGGCTAGTTGTCAGTCCAGAAACATGGGATCTGAGAGCTGGAGAAACATAAAGTGTTAGAAAACAAGTTCAAAATATAATCCAAATGGGCTGTTCCTGGAAGAGAAGTGCTGGGTACAACTGGAATAAATTTTTTGGACATGAATAGGTAAATATGAATATTCTTAAAGCTTTTAATAAGGTTTCAATAATTAAAAAGAATTTTTTTTTGCTTACCTAATCATGTAGTCCTCAATAACCAGGTTAAAATTTTTAATAATAATTTTTAAAGTTTTAAAAGTTTCTTGTGGGGTTTTCTTTGCATTATCGAGGGAGAGTACCTTTTTCTTAGATATTTAAGACAGCATCTACAGGACACCCTTTCATTTATAACATATAATTGTAGAGTGAATGATTGTGAGGCGGATGTGAGATGAAACTGAAAGAAGGAAGACATAAGTAGTCCAGTATTGGGATGGGCTTGTGCTTGGACTAGAATGTAGGTCTCCAACCCAAAGTTCTAAAATTGTTTTTAAACAAGACCTACATTTTGCTTGCTTTTATGTCAAAACCATGACTATACATACATGCTTCTATACATACATAACTGAAGAGATACTTACCCTTACACTGGAGCACTCTGATGTTTTTTTGTTCTGTTGTATTGTGTGTTTTGTGTTTTTTTTTTTTTGAGATGGAATCTCACTCTGTCGTCCAGGCCAGAGTACGGTGGTACAATCTCTGCTCGCTGCAATCTCCCAGGTTCAAGCAATTCTCCTGCCTCAGCCTCCCAAGTAGCTGGGACTACAGGCATGCGCCACCATGCCAGGCTAATTTTTGTATTTGTAGTAGAGACAGGGTTTCACCATGTTGGCAAGGCTGATCTCAAACTCCTAACCTCAAGTGATGTGCCTGCCTCAGACTCCCAAAGTGTTGAGATTACAGGCGCAAGCCACCATTACCCAGCCTATTGTATTGTGTTCTGTTATTCTATTTTAAACCTCTCCCTGCATCCTAAGAAAATCCCCAAATGGAAAGGCTCATCACAACCCACTAAATCGATTTTACAGTAGCTTGTAGTTCTGAAAAAACACTAAGACCTATCCCACTGTTCCTACTGCCTCCCCATTCCCCATTCTGATCTACCATAACCCACGAGAGGCTGTGGATGATGAGGTTTTACAATAAACAATGGAAGTGCATGTGTGGGTAGGGATGTGAGTCATCATGCCATTATTATAGTGGCTTGTGCTGGCAGTTGGAAATTTTAGGAGACGATGGACTTATACTGAGGCTTATGTGTTAGACAAAGCATTCATGGACAAAGGTGACTGCAGGCATGGAGTAGGCAAGAAAGTTTAATTCCTTATCCATAGACTGTTTAAGATTAAAGAGAGAATTTCTGCCAAAAGTGATCAAATTTTTAACATTTTAAAGTTATTTTCAAAGTTGGTGTTCTATATAGTTGTATCTTTTTTGAATGGATATGTTTCCATTTAGTTACCCCCCAAAATAATCACTTTCCTTTAATTTTAAGGAACTGTGACCAGTATTTCAGTTTTTAAAATGAAAACTGTTTTTAAAATAGATGCAACAGTTGCAGGCAAAAAATAACTTGTTAGCTCTGTATGTGGTTTATTTCTGTGAGTGTACCAACAAGATTTGTTAATAAAACACATTGGATTGGATAAATAATTTTATTTTTCTAAAACTTATTATGACATTAAATATGAGGAACATTTTCAATAGCTTCTAAACTGGTAATTTAACTAATGAGATTCTAAATTATTCTAACACCCTCCTGTTCCTATGGTTTCAACTAGGCTAAAATCAGAAAACATGTTGACCCATCAGGCTTTACTTTGAATAGTCATTTGGTTGCTTTTAATATTGAAATCAAGACCTAAGTAAAAGATGCTTAAAGTGCCTAGTATGAATATTCTGTACTTTCCCAAGGAGTCAGTTTTTATTGAATATCATAATTTGATTTTTGTCTTATAGTTAAAAATTCTGCCATTGCAAAGCTTCTTAAATTTGGATTTTGGCCTCAGAGACTCTAAATTGCCAGAAATTTGAATTTTTTTGTATGAACATATGAACATTTTGTTTTTCTTGGTAACATAATAGATAGCTTTTTTTTTCTTGAGACAGAGTTTCACTCTTGTTGCCCAGGCTGGAGTGCAATGGTGTGATCTTGGCTTACCGCAACCTCTGCCTCCCGGGTTCAAGCAATTCTTCTGCCTCAGCCTCCCAAGTAGCTGGGGTTACAGGCATCCGCCACCATGACCAGCTAAGTTTGTATTTTTAGTAGAGACAGGGGGTTTCTCCATGTTGGTCAGCCTAGTCTTGAACTTCCAACCTCAGGTGATCTGCCCGCCTCGGCCTCCCAAAGTAGTGGGATTACAGGTGTGAGTCACCACATCTGACCTCATAATATATACCTTTAATTGAATTCTTAAAGGGAATTCAGTTACTCAAAAAAAGTTAGCTTCTGTACTGTAGGACAACCTTAAAGCTGTTAAGCAAATTGATATTTCTGTAGACTGTTAGAAGACATAAATGGGATACCTATATATATGTTAAGTGCATGTATACATAATCTTCATAATTCTTGATCTGATTACCTGTTTTTCTACATATTTTAATTCAATATCATTTTTATTGTATCAGGTTAAATTGATGAAATGACCGTTTCTATTGGTCAAAAACTGTCAGGTATTTGACGGTTGTTTATGAGTCAATATTTTATGCCTCCTTAAAGTTCAAATAGGTGTGTAGCTTAGCTCCATGGCCATGCAGACTTTTCCTGAGAATTATTCTCCAAAGGTTAAGAAAAAAGTTTTTTTTTTAAGTTGGCTTTTATTTGGAATAATGTTCCAAGTGCCATACTTACAATGGACTTCAGTAGTAGCAAAGTTCAGAAGCACATCATCCCAAATTTTCTGTTGGTAGAGCTATTTAATAGAGCATTTAAAAATACGTTAGTTTATTTCACTTGTATTTTATTAGTAAAGTAATTTGAGCAAAATTAAAATGCAAAATCTAACATTAACCTAAATGAAGAGAATTAGGAAAGAAAAGTTATTTATTAAGTGCCTGTTATGTTCCAGGAACTATGCCAAGAGGACTTTTCAGAGGAAGTAAGAGTTAAAATGAAATTTGAAAGACTATTAGGAGTTAAGAAGTGTAGCAAGAGAGGGAGAGAAGGATGTTTCATGCAGAAAATATGCAGAAGCCCATAGGTAAGAAAATATGGAATTGCCCAAGACCTGACTGCAGGTCATGACTGGAGAGTAGGATGCAAGGAGGGGGCGGGAGTGAGGGGAGTAGACAGAGAAAAGACTAGAGAGGTCGAGGAGCCAGATAGCTTGTGCAGAGCCTTGTGAACCATGGCAAGCATTTTGGATTTTATCCTGAGGGTAGTGATAAGCACTGAAGGATTTAAAATAGGAGACATAAATTATCAGATTATTGTTAGGAAGGTCATTCTGGTTGCTTTATGGGAATGGATTGAAAGGGTTAAGATTCTGTATTGGTGACAGACCATTTCAGGAGCTGTTTTGGTCATCTAGGTGAGAAGAGACCAGAGTTTTCGTAATTGGCTAAAGAAATTATAGATGAATTCCAGAGACATTCAAGACATAAAATTAACAGATTTTAGTGATTAAATGTGAGCATTAAGGCAGAGAATCCAAGCACTGTGGAGGCCAAGGTGGGCGGATTGCCTGAGGTCGGGAGTTCAAGACCACCAGCCTGACCAACATAGTGAAACCCCATCTTTAAAAGAAAAAAGAGAAAAAAGAGAGCCAGTGATGGCACTTAGGATTCTTACTGAAGCAACTTGGTAGAAATCACACTGAGAAAGGAAACAAATAAGGGAACAAATTATTATAAGCACTAAAGATAATGAGTTAAGTTTTGAGTATGTTAAGTTTGCAGTACATATCCACAACTCATGCCCAAGTAGATATAAATATCTAATGGGCAGGTGGATACTGAAGTGAGATCTGAGCTAAAAGTCAGCATTTGGGAGTCATCAGCGTCAAAAACATGGGAGTGGGTGAATTCTCATAGAGGAGTATATACAATGAGCAAAGAGAAGGGTGGAGGTTAGGTGCATTCACATGTAAAATACAGACAGGAGAATAGAGGCTGGTGAAACTAAGACGGCAGGAAGAAACCCAGAAGAGTATGAATGTGAACACTAAGGGAAAAGGTGTTTGTTTTCATAAAGGAAGGAGTTGACAAGTGTCAGTGGTACCTAAAGGTCATGTACAAGGTACTGAGAAGTGAAAAGTGGCCATTGTGCAATATATAATGGTCCTTGATGGTCTTAATGAGAGTGGTTTCAGTGGAGTTATGACAAATAAAAGCCAATGATTCAAGGAATAAATAGCAGGTGAGTAAATGGAGAGGCCAGGCGCGGTGGATCATGCCTGTAATCCCAGCACTTTGGGAGGCCGAGGCGGGTGGATCACGAGGTCAAGAGATCAAACCATCCTGGCCAACATGATGAAACCCCCCCTCTA